GTTTTTAGCCGAAAAACACGACCATGTATAGTAAGGCGTTTTTAGCCGAAAAACACGACCATGTATAGTAAGGCGTTTTTAGCCGAAAAACACGACCATGTATACGAAGGCGTTTTTAGCCAAAAAAAAAGGACCATGTACAGTAAGGCGTTTTTAGCCAAAAGAAATGACCATGTATAGTAAGCGCTTTTTGCCGAAAAAAAGGACCATGTATAGTAAGGCGTTTTTAGCCGAAAAAAACGACCATGTATAGTCAGGCGTTTTTAGACGAAAAAAACGACCATGTATAGTAAGGCGTTTTTGGCCAAAAAAAACGACCATGTATAGTAAGGTGTTTTCAACACAAAAAAACGACCATGAAAAGTAAGGCGTTTTTAACACAAAAAAACGACCATGTGTAGTAAGGCATTTTTAGCCGAAAAAAACGACCATGTATTGTAAGGCGTTTTTAGCCGAAAAAAATGACCATGAATAGTAAAGCATTTTTAGCCCAAAAAAAAACGACCATGTAAAGTAAGGCGTTTTTAGCCGAAAAACACGACCATGTATAGTTAGGCGTTTTTAGCCGAAAAACACGACCATGTATAGTTAGGCGTTTTTAGCCGAAAAACACGACCATGTATAGTTAGGCGTTTTTAGCCGAAAAACACGACCATGTATAGTTAGGCGTTTTTAGCCGAAAAACACGACCATGTATAGTTAGGCGTTTTTAGCCGAAAAACACGACCATGTATAGTTAGGCGTTTTTAGCCGAAAAACACGACCATGTATAGTTAGGCGTTTTTAGCCGAAAAACACGACCATGTATAGTTAGGCGTTTTTAGCCGAAAAACACGACCATGTATAGTTAGGCGTTTTTAGCCGAAAAACACGACCATGTATAGTTAGGCGTTTTTAGCCGAAAAACACGACCATGTATAGTTAGGCGTTTTTAGCCGAAAAACACGACCATGTATAGTTAGGCGTTTTTAGCCGAAAAAACGACCATGTAAAGTAAGGCGTTTTTAACACAAAACAAAGGACCATGTATAGTAAGGCGTTTTAAGCCGAAAAAAACAACCATGTATAGTAAGGCGTTTTTCGCCGAAAAAAACGACCAAGTATAGTAAGGCGTTTGTAGCCGAAAAAAAACGACCATGTATAGTAAGGCGTTTTTCGCCGAAAAAAACGACCAAGTATAGTAAGGCGTTTGTAGCCGAAAAAAAACGACCATGTATAGTAAGGCGTTTTTCGCCGAAAAAAACGACCAAGTATAGTAAGGCGTTTGTAGCCGAAAAAAAACGACCATGTATAGTAAGGCGTTTTTCGCCGAAAAAAACGACCAAGTATAGTAAGGCGTTTGTAGCCGAAAAAAAACGACCATGTATAGTAAGGCGTTTTTCGCCGAAAAAAACGACCAAGTATAGTAAGGCGTTTGTAGCCGAAAAAAAACGACCATGTATAGTAAGGCGTTTTTCGCCGAAAAAAACGACCAAGTATAGTAAGGCGTTTGTAGCCGAAAAAAAACGACCATGTATAGTAAGGCGTTTTTCGCCGAAAAAAACGACCAAGTATAGTAAGGCGTTTGTAGCCGAAAAAAAACGACCATGTATAGTAAGGCGTTTTTCGCCGAAAAAAACGACCAAGTATAGTAAGGCGTTTGTAGCCGAAAAAAAACGACCATGTATAGTAAGGCGTTTTTCGCCGAAAAAAACGACCAAGTATAGTAAGGCGTTTGTAGCCGAAAAAAAACGACCATGTATAGTAAGGCGTTTTTCGCCGAAAAAAACGACCAAGTATAGTAAGGCGTTTGTAGCCGAAAAAAAACGACCATGTATAGTAAGGCGTTTTTCGCCGAAAAAAACGACCAAGTATAGTAAGGCGTTTGTAGCCGAAAAAAAACGACCATGTATAGTAAGGCGTTTTTCGCCGAAAAAAACGACCAAGTATAGTAAGGCGTTTGTAGCCGAAAAAAAACGACCATGTATAGTAAGGCGTTTTTCGCCGAAAAAAACGACCAAGTATAGTAAGGCGTTTGTAGCCGAAAAAAAACGACCATGTATAG